TGACATTAGTGACGTTTGTACTAACTTGGTTTTAAAGCCTTTACTTTAAAATATACGCCGTTCAATAGCTGACCTTAATCTTACAGAGAATGATCAAAGCTCATGTAGAAACAAACAAACAAATGAACATAAGATTTTCTCCTTTATTTCTGTCAAACAATGCTTTATGAAACGTTTCTAGCTGTTAGTATCATGGTTGCTGGGCAGCGCGACGGAGGCTAGACCGTCCCATTTCACAAGCCTCGCACTTCCGGCCTTAGCGGTCTTTAAGTACGCAGCCCTTGAGGATTGTTGAGACTGCGTACTTTAAGGCTGCAGACCCTGAATTGGGATACAGCCTTTATATACACACACAAGGTAACAAGGAAATTGCACACAGGAGGGAGACACAGCTGAACCTAATTAGACAAGACAACAGGAAAGCATAACCCAAAACACTGAACACCAGACGGGGGACTCTCCAAAGTAAAACAGGAAATGCAAAACAGAAAACCACAATTCCCAGAATAAAACTTAAACCAAACACACAAAACACTGGGTTGCAGACCCAGGACTGTGACAGTTTTTTAAAACTATAACAACCATTGCATCAACATTCTGATTTATCCAATACTGTGATTTAGTACCAGATACTTATTAAGAAATATTACCGTGCCCCATAAGCTTAAATTGCACGTTGAGCTTACTGGTAAATTGGCCGGTTGTACAGGTAAGTCCATAATTTGTTGGATAAAGACACATTTTATAGCTTTACCTTTGCACACCAGAACAGGGATTTTAAATGAAACAATTAATACATGACTGAAGTGCAGGCTTTCAGCTTTAATTTGAGGGGTTTTACAAATACTTTGAACAAACTGTTGACAAACTACAGCCATTTTTAATACCCACTCCCCTACAAACTAACACCAATTTAAATTTAAAGATCGTTTTTAATACTTGTATGAAAATCCTTTGTGATCAGTGACTGCCTGAAAACCCACGAACATCATGTTTCCTCCCTCTATATAGTCTGGTGGGCCTTTGCTGCAGCCACCATCAGCTACTGCTTATTTGCCTTCAGTTTTGTCTTCAGTAACTCAAGCATGCTCTGAGTTGTTTTTGCAGTATGCTTTGGGTCATTATCCATTTGCCCTGTAAAGTGCCATCTGATTGGTTTTACAACATATGACTGAATCTGAGCAGACAGTACAGCCCTGTACACTTCAGAATTCATCCTGCTACATTTATCAGCAGTCACACCATCAATAAACACCAGTGACCCAGTTTCACTGGCAAACACACCCATGCTATAACATTGCTTCCCCTATGTTTGACAGACAATGTGGTATGCAGAGGATCATGAGCTGACTTTTTCAGCCAAATGATGGCTTCCCCAACCTGCTCTGACTTGCTTTTTGGACCTTATATCTAACTTGTACATGTAATTGCAATGCAAACCGATAAAATCTGAACTGAATCAACTTTATCTGTTATTCTCTACTTCATTTGTCTTGAAATAACAAGAGAAAAGGCCTCACCTGGCCATGAAACTGCTTGCCAGTCAACTGTCCACTTATTGAGAAAATGGGTCGGTATACAAAAAGTCTGCAATTCCCTAAACAGCTCATGCAAATTATTTTATTTTTGAAGCTTTTGAATTCAAGCTGAAAGTCTGCATTTCACATAGAGCAAAAACTATAAAAACTGTCTCACAAATTATGGATCTAACTGTATCTTGCTAACGTGCTAAACTGGAAAACTTCTGGAAAACTAAAGACTTTTTTAAACAAAGGCAAAAATGAAACAGGGCTTCATTTTTGCTGCTGAAGTAGGTCACAATAAAGTTTACCTGCTCATTATAAAGAATAAGGACTCATCTAGCCAGGAAATAAAAGTAAACAACAGTCAGGCTCTACCTGTGAAGCATCAGATTGGACAGGAAGAGGGCTGTCACCTTTTTCCACCACATCGGGGTGTCTGGGTAAAACAAGAGGGACAAACCATTAGGGAAGGATCCAAGAAAAGAATAAAAACAACCTGACAGTGCTATGGCATAAATTACAACGACCCAGGTGGCTGTTAAAGACTTTCAGTCAGCAGAAAAAAAAGACCCAGACAGTTCTATCTTTAGTGCAGAGGAGCTAAAAGCCTAGAAACAATCTCAATCTGCTCCTCCTGTTTCATGTTACCTTGTGTTTAGTGGTGGTGGCAGACAGGACATTTTTCCAGGTGAAGTGGGACCCCTTTGAGTCGAGGCAGGGGTCAGACATTTCTCAGCGTAACTCTGGGGGAACCAGCCCCTGTTTCCGCGGTAACTTCCGCACAACCAGCCAGGCTCACCGACCGTGTGCTCATCCACCTGCATCATGGAAAACGCAGTTCACTTGCAGTCGGTCATTCGCAGCGAGGGGATCAAGATAAACGTTTTGTTTCCCTACTGCAGTAATCAGGAGCAATTACGACTGCACAGCAACACAAGTAGTGTGTTTAGACACCCATCACTCACACACACACACACACACACACACACACACGCATCAAGGCAGCTCAGTGGTGTGTGATCAGTCCTTAATTCTTTGTTAAATTAACACTTTCAGAATTGATGCTCATTGAGGAAACGTGGATAACGGGGATAATTGATTGAACTTTAACTCCATCAGTGATTACTTAAAATCAAAATATAATTATAGATTTTTAACCAGGGGTGCAGTGGTTAGTGCTGCTGCCTCACTGTGAGAAGGTCCTGTGTTTGAATGCAGCCTGGGACTGTTCTGTGTGGTGTCTGCATGGTGACTGGTTAGTCTGCCTTCCTCCCACAGTCCAAAGACATGAGTGGGATTAGGTTAACTGGTGATTCTCAACTGACTGTAAGTATGAATGCTTGTTAGCCTCTCTGTGTTAGTCCTTTGACAGATTGGTGACGTTTCTAGGGCGTACCCTGCCTCTTGCCCTCTAGCAGCTGGGACAGGGTCTGGCCGGATAAGCCAATGGATTGATTATTAACCAAGCCAAGGGTGAAACTCTTTCTGTATTTCTTATTCCAAAAAGTAGGCCAACACCAAAGTCCAAAAGAAAAAAAAAAAAAAAAAAAAAAAAAAAAAATCACAGCTTGAAGCTGAGTTAACCTCGTATTCTAGAACAGAAATTCACACGCTGACTCTGGAATCGTGGCAAATGTGCCAACGCTGGCAGCTGTACTTGACCGCTGTGTCACCTTTGATAAATCGAGCCACTGACCTGGACCGTGCTTGTGGTGTTGCTGCCATTTGGTGCATTTTTTAAATGGACTGTAATGGAATTATCTAACGAGTCTGACACTGAGCCTAAAAAGCCAACAGATCAGGTCCCACAAAAACTAATTGATAATCAAAAGCAACAAGATTTTGAGTAATACATATTAAATACATTTTAAAAAGACGAATATCTTGCGTGTTTGCAGCGCGGGTGTGTGCTTCGTACCTCTATGAGACAGTCTGCGTCTACACTCAGCTCATCTGCGTTGCGAGCAACAAAGGAGTACAGGGCTCTGTAGGTGGTTAGCTTGGGTGCCAACTGCTGCCCCATTTCCTGCTCTTCTTTCCTCCTCTTCTCCTCCTCAACCTCTTTCTGTCTCTTCTCCTCTTCGGCCTCCCTCCTCTTCTTCTCCGCCTCTGCCTCCTCCTCCTCTCTCCTTCTTCTCTCCTCTTCTTGTGCTTTCTCCTGGGCTGCCCGGTGGCGAGCCTGTGCCTCTCTCTCTTCCTCTTCCCTCTGTCTGGCCCTCTGCTCCTCCAGAAGCCTCCTCTGCCGTGCCTCCTCTTCCTCTCTCTCCCTCTTCTCTTGTTCCCTCCGCTCCTGCTCTCTCTTTTCTTGCTCCAGCTTTGCCTGTCTGTGGGAAGTAAATGCAGCTTAATAAAGCCACATTATGTCTAAGCAAGAGCAATACAGACAAACCCTGAGATTCACCTGGCCGCCTCTTCTTCTTCCTCTCTCCTCCTCCTTTCTCTCTCCTCCTCCTCGCGGCGTCTCTGGAGCTCCCTCAATTTCTCCTCTTTGACTCTGTGCAGGTCGTCCAGAACAGCCTGCTGCCTCACCTGCTTCTCCCTCAGCTCCTGACGCCATCACAGAATGTGCAACACAAGGAGACGTGTAAATATCTGTCTAAGACTTTTGTTCTTATCAGCCTTAAAAGTCTGAAAGAACCACAACACAACAGCTCCACACGATGCACTTAGCATGACAAGTTAAACATTGTTTTGCCATTTATGATTTCTCATAAACAGCAGCAACATTCACAGAAACACGCAGGCATGCTGTATGTGCATAGTAAGTATGAACTGAGGTTTTTTTTCTCTTTCTAACACATAAGTTGTGCAGGTTAGACATTCTGTGTGCGTGCGTTTTACCCTCAGGGTGCATCCTGTTTACACAGAAAACACAGACTAGAACAAATCCCACGGAGAGAAACAACAGCGAAGGAAGAAGGCATGGTACCAACAAAAACCTCCATTTAAAAATGACTCAAAAGAGCAGGAAAAGATGAACGAGCAGATCAAATCATTGCGGGATGCAAAGGAAAGGAGATTTAAGATTGTTGCTTGAAGGGGGGGAAAAAATGTACAGAGTGGGAGATAAAGCGACAGTGAAAGAGGGTTAACCTTGATGAGAAGGAAGAGCTGGCTGAGGCAGGCCAGCAGAGACAGAAGGCCTCGGAGGACACAGTCGTCCATATCCCCTAGCTATGGAAATAACAGTGTGATGATGGAGGGAGACAAAATGTTTAGACGATGGGTGAGGAGAGCAAAGGAGAAAAGTGTGTCACAAAGGAACGGGCAGAGACAACAAAAATAAAAAGTAAGAAGACACATCCAGGTAGCAGGGAGAAGAAGAAGACAAGAGAAAGAGAAGAGGCCAGGGGTTAAAAGCTTTAAAAGCTGCTTAAGAAATAAACAAACCAAGAGACAGAAACCAAGAGAAAGGGAGAGCAGGTGTTTTAGTGCTCCAGTTATTAACATCAGACTGATGATAAGACTCTGAGAGGACGTCATTCACAGCTATCACATTATCAGGCTGTTTGATGACAAACGTAGACTTCAGAGACTGTATGTGTGCAAAAATAGTTTAAGTTTCCATTGCCCAAGGGGTGAAACTCTAGAGCTATTGTGACCAGTTGAACAAGATTTCACAGCAAGTTGAAAATGCCCTGTTTTTGTGCTATTTAATATCAAGCCAGAGCTGTGGGACAAAAACAACAGTATGCTTTTGCTTCATTTAACATCAGTGCAATCCATCTTAAAGCAATTTTACCTCATTTTGCTGCACGATTATATTCACAACTATGAAACTTCTCTTGCAAAACATGTTGACGCTAAATAAAGTCGGGGTATGAAAAACCCAACTTTAGCCTTAAAGTTAGTTTGATGAAGAAATAGTTTCAGATTGTGATGAATGATATTAAAGAACTGCCAAGGGAGAGAGCTTAGTGTGCTACATGCACGTCTCGGTACAAATACAGAATATAAAGTGCTTCCTATAATTTATGGGTGATATCAGAGGCTATGTTCTTTTTTTCCCCCTACAACTTTGGTCTGAATGAGTCTGTAGTGGCCTGAACCAAACACTGACCTTAAGCTCCTTATTGTACTGCTCCATCTGCGTCAGTTTGTCTGTCGTTTCCCTTTCCAGGATGTCAAGCTGGTCCTTCAGCCTCCGGCAGTTTACAGTCTTCTCCGTCACAGTCCCGGTCAGGGAGGTCAAAGTCACAGCTACAAAGATCAAAGGTCGGAGACATGTCAGACCAGCGGCCAGTGACTAATCTGTGTGACGTGAGAGGAGGCATTTGTCACCCACACGGGAGTTTGTTGAGGCTGATGTTTTGCAGCTTCTCACACAGTCTCTGTTGTTCTGGAACCAGCTGTGAGAGCTTCCTCTGCCACTCCTGCGACCGACCGAGAGGAGAGCGCGTAAAAACACAC